GGCATTCCGCCTTCCCTTCCCAGGACTGACCTGAGCCCCGCGCCTCCGCTCTGTTGCCGCGTGTGTTCGGTCCAGCCCTGCGCTCGTTCTTTGTGTACAGGAAACCTTTCTTGATTTCACGGCAGCTAAAACCAAGGTAAGCATCTCAGGATGGACCGTTAGCCAAGACAGACAGACACAGTGTGTGTGGTGGGGGAAGGGGACGTAAAGGTCAGATTTGTTGAAACACAAGTCCAAATGTGGACCCGATTGAAAACAGAGCTAATGCTTTTGTTTCCTGAGATTGTTGATCTGAATTAGTTTAGACCATAAATCCGTGTTTCCTCAACTCTCAATTCCCTGCTGCAGTGTTTCTTTACAGTCCTTAATTTTATCGTGTGTACTTAGCCTGTGATTTTTATATTTGTGTGTACTTAGCTTATTTTCGTTATTACTGGCTTACATTTATTGATCATCCACATTTGTCAGATGCTTTGTGTTTGTTTATTTTATGATAGTGTGTGCCAGAGAGCAGGGAGAGAGGGGAGGGCACCCTGGACAGGGTCTTGTCTCATCTGCAGTCCCCTCTCCCCAGCCCTTCAGCCCCTCAGGATCTTGGGTGCCCTCTTGGGGTCCCGCGTTCTGAATTCTGAGCCATCACATGGCTTCCAGACTTTCAGAACACCTGCTGTCACTGACGGGGCGGGGGGGGGCATATTTATGTTTAAATTGATCCTTATTGACATTCTTGCAAGTTAAATGGCATTGTCCTTATTTGACAAGCAGCAAATAGAGGGTAGTAAGAATTTGAACCATTTACATGACAGAATCAAAGACCCATTCTCTTATCACTACACATCCTTCTTTAAGCAGGTATTTGCATGAGGTCCATGTGCACCATGTTAGAGGCCATGGTTCAACTGTGGATAAGATAATAGCCCTTGTCTTCAAGATACTCATAGTCCAGTAAAAACACGACAGAGATAAAGATGGAGATTAAAAATAGATGAGATTAGGGAAGGCCTTGTACACCATGCTAAGAAGTTGTGGAAGGAGGTGGTGGGGAGTTTTACATGAAGGTAGTCTGAAATGTGGAGGAGTGGTGAGAGTTGACCTACTGGCAGTGAGGAATACAGTTCTGCTGTTGAATATAATCCAGACCAGAGATGATGATAACTCACATGAGAGCAGTAAGAATGTCTCTTTTTATGTCATATAACTTTCTCCCTTATTGGTTGAGGTCAGAACTTGCTGATTTGCACATAGCTCTCTAGATTCTACTTAATAATTGGCACTTAATATTGGTTAACAGAAGCTTTCTTTCTTTTTTTTTAGAGAGAGATTTTTGCTGTTGGGTGCATGTGCTTGCTAGAGAGACAGAGAGAGGCAGAAAGCAAGAAATCACCCCCTGGGGGGTTATGATCATATCACAGTTACTTTCCCTTCATTCTCCTCTTGGGATTTTGGACACACACACACACACACACACCCAGCATGAATTTAAGCTGCCTGATCAGGGATTCAACATGCGGTTGACTACGTCAGAATCCAGTGACATAACCATTACACCATCTATTGGTCTCAACAAGCAGAAGCTTTCTAATGCAGGTCTTTTGTTTTTTACTACATATATTACACTTAACTTGATATATATTTTTATGTTCCTTTGTCCTTTCTCTTTATTCCTTTTGTGTTTGTTTTGCTTGTGTTTATGTATGCACAAAAGAGAGAGAGAGAAAAATAAGAAGTCCTCCCCCACCCCATGAGGAATGATCTTGCTGCAATCCTTTTTCCTCTCTCTCTCTCTCCTTTCAAGATTTTTTTGGCACACATGAGCATGTGCCTGGTGTGTTTTTCAAGCACCAGATCTGGGACTTCAATGGCATGGCCATCTATATGGGATCCAGCTGCCTTGAGCACTAGACCATGGAGCTGGCCCAGACATTGATATTTCTTCAGTGACTCTTCAATAGAAGAAAGCTATTTCTTCTGTCTCTCTCACTCATTCCCTCCTTCACTCTTTTATTGAATATATTCAAAAAAGTGTGAAAAGAGACAATATTAAGTGAAAATCTTGATGAATTTGCCAGCTAGTTGAAGATATAGAACATTTTTGTACTCCATTAAAATTCTCTCAAGCTCATTAACAATCAATAACCCCAGCCCGGTAGTAAACTATATGTGACTTCTGTCACAGCAATTAATTTTTCCAGTTTTTGAACTTTACAGAAGTAAAAGCATACAGGACAAGGTGTCCTCAAGACGTTCGTAGAAAATGTACGCTATGAAAAAACTACATGTAGTTTTTCATTTATTTTTTTCAGTTTGCCAGAAGGCACACATGCTTGCTGCAGAGGGAAAGCAAGAAAACACCTCCCCTGGCGAGTGGTCACACTGCAATACCTTCTCTTCTATTTCTCCCTCCTTTTTTAAAAAAACTTTTTTTTTTTTTTTTGAGGGGTTTTCGCTATAGGGCACATGCGCTAGCCAGACAGACAGAGAGAGACAGAGAGACAGAAAGTGAGAAATCACCCCTCAGGGGGGATGGTCATGCTGCAATCTCTTTTCCTCCATTCTCCTCTCGGGATCTTGGGCACACACGCACACGCGCCTGGCGTGAGTTTTAAGCCACCAGGTCCGGGATGCGAACCATGGTCGACTACGTGGGAGTCCAGTGACATAGCCATTATGCCAACTGCTAGTCCCTATTTCTCCCTCCTTTTTAGAGTTTAGGCGCATACACACACACACACACACACACACACACACACCCCTGGCATATTTTTTGAGCCACCAAGTCAGGGACTCAAACCACATAGCTGGCCATGTGGGATCCAGATCACCTAACCTTTAGGCCATGGGGTGGCCTGGTTTCAAATTAATTTTGCACCAAAAGAATGTTTACTTTTTTTTTTTAAGAGAGATTTTTGCTATAGGGTGCGTATGCTCAGTGAGAGACAGGGAGACAGAAAGGGAGAGATCACCCCCTGGGCGAATGGCTATGCCACAGTCCCTTCTTCTCTGTTCTACTCTTGGGATCTTGGACACACACACACATGTCCCCAGCATGAGTTTTAAATCACCAGGTCCGGGACTTGAACCACGGACTATGTGGGAGTCCAGTGATGCAATGGTTACCATTAGGCCATCTGCTGGCCCCAAGAATGTTAACTTTAACATTATCCTATGAGCTTTTTGAAGTTCCTTCAAATGTACTTTTTTTTGTCAGCCTTTATTGACATAAAAGAGTACATACGAGGGGACTTGTAAGATTCATTCATATTTTTGCATTTATTAGTGTTTTTTTTTAGTGTTTTGTGTAGTATTTCACCATATGAGTAAATCACACATTTTTCATGCTCCTATTAAGAGTTTAGGGTTTTTTTATTATTTTTAATTTTATTTATTCATTTACTTATTTTATTTTGACCAGAGAGACAGAGAGAGAGAAAGTGAGAAAGCAAGCCACCAGGTCCAGGACCTGAACCATGGTTGGCCATATGGGAATGTCCAGTGCCTTAACTGCCACACCACCTGCTGGTCCCCTTAGGGTTATTATTAATAAATCTTCTGTGAACATTTTTCCTTGTGTCTTTTAGTGAATGTGTGTGTGTGTGTGTGTGTGTGTGTGTGTGTGTATTTGGATATATACATAAGAATGGAATTTCTGCTTCATAGAATAGCTCTTTCTGTAGTTTTGGTAGTTATTTCCAGTTTTCTAAAGGTACATAAATTTCAATTGCTTTACACTTCAGAAGTATTAGTTAAATAATTCTGTGAATGAAACGTATGTGCCCTGTCTCTCTTTGTTATAGAGAAATGAATGGGCTGAAGTTTTGCATCTAGCATACGTGCAGATTTGATGATATATCTGGATAATTCAAGTCATCAGCCTTCCACCGTCAGAAAAAGGGTTTTTTCTTAGTTATTTTTACATTTCAAGTGACTTCCTTTTAAGACACAATATAGGAATAATTACTTGTTCTCTTCTTTATTTTTCCTGTGGGCAACATAAAATAAAAACACGATAGAAGTCAACAAATATTTATTAGCCCTTGCCATTATTTGTCTAACATCCTGCCTGGCACATGGAATACAGTGAGACAGAATTCCTCCCACTTTAGGTAGACTGCTATTCTATTGCAAATAGAAAATAGAGTATGACAGGTACTGGGATTCAGAAAACTGAGATCCTGAAATGGGGACCAAATCCAGTTTTAGGGAGTTAGAGCTTCCTGGGAGCTGTCTAAGCTGAGGCCTGAAGAATGAGTTATAAAGGGAAAAAACAAACAAACAAAAACAGAAAACATATTCTAGGCAAAGGAAAAGGCTTTTAAAAAAGTGAAGAGTTGAAAGAGAGGTTTGATATTGACAAGCTCAGTGTGGCTAGAAAATAAAATGTATATATTTGTTTTGGAGAGGAGGGGTCCAGGTGCTGAGAGAAGAGTCAGAGATTAAAGTGGGGAATTGTAGGCTGGTTAAGGAGTTTACATCCCAAGAGCAATGAATGCCATGGACGAGCAACATGATCAGATAAGCATATTTTTTTAAAGAAAGCTTACCATGACTTTAGCGTACAGAATACTCAGAACTGGGAC